ATTCAAGAACTTGGTCTATTATATCAATAAATTCTTAGAAACAAATATAATTTTTTCAACAAAGTAAGAAATCCTGTTGACGTATCGGTATAATGTGGAAATAATTTCCTGTTGACGTATCGGTATAATGTGGAAATAATTTCTACGTTGAACAAACGGCATAGAAAGAAATTAAAGGAAAAGGGACCCCAACGATCGGGACAAAAGCATGTACGATCTCATGGGTGAGCAGCCGTCGCTAATTCAGAGTAAATATAGGTTCACATCCAATTATTGAATTTCAAAATAAAGAAACCCTCTACAAATATCGAAATTAGTGTGGTTGGGTGGAATTTCTTTATTTATGCAGATTTGATTGAAGACCGAGCGTACTTTTTATTTATAATTTTCTTATTCAATGAACCGAAAAAAATTTTTGCTGGTATTGGGAGATAGAAAAGCAGGTTACCAAATGACATTTTACTGGAATAAGACGTTTCGAATATATAATGTTCATTATCATGTGGAACAGCCTACCTGATAGCATCGTTGACGCTCCGAGTATGAACATCTTCAAAAACAGACTAGACGAAGCTATGCAGGAGCATATGTTCAGTCTTAAAATGCCTAGCAAATTACGGACCAGGAAGAAATATCGCATGGATGTGTTACAACGCAGTTTTTTAGTTTATAGCTGTGGCCCCTGGTATTGGTTCTTGTTTCAAATTCTAGTAATCCTTCGGGGACCTTGTATAAGCCATGAGTATACTTGTGTGCTTCAATGAGGTCACCGAGCGAGCAGGCGTCGATAACTGAGGCTCAGAAGCTTCATAATCTTTAACATTTCCTCATAGGATTTGCCTTTCAAGCCCGGAAATTTCCTTGTTGCACGTCTTTGAACACGCTCTATTAAATTTTTGTCCTTTTCAAGTTGTTGTGACCACACGACGTGTCCGAACGCGAGGTTCGGGCGCACGACAGAAACAAACAACTGCTTCATCGCTTCTGCATCTAGGAACTCGAAAGAGCGTCTGATCAGTCGAAGTCGTTTATTGGCTTTATTAACTTGACCTTCAAAATGCTTGGAAAACTTCAACTTATTGTCGATATAAACTCCTAAAAATCTTTTTTCATTGTCGAATTCGGCATCACCACTCTGTCGTTGCAACCGTGTGTTCTCATACTGTAATCTTGCTTCAGTCTTGAAATGCCTAGCACCATACGGACCAGGGCCCATACTTTCATGAAAAGTTAAGAGATCGTAAGTTCATCAGCCAATCATTGACGGCCTTTCGAGCCAAATCCACCAATCATGGACAAGAAAATAGAGCGTAAGTACTTACGTTCACTTAGCGAGTTTTGAAAGTATGGCCCCAGGCAATCAGTCCCGCAGCTATCTCAAGCAATCGTCAGTTATGGAAGGATCGGGTCTAGAAGGCCGGATCCCTTGTGGAATCAAATCATGAAAAGTACAAGAATCGACAACAGGCCATGGGACTATTTCTTCAGAGCTGACATTCATTCTTTTTTATTCTAAACGTACCTAATGATGGCTGTGAAGACTATTCTGATGATTCTTCCGCCGATAAACTCACTCTTCAAGCTGTCCACCAGTGACAGAACCAGAGGCCATAGTTTGAAACTTGTTAAAGAGCAGTGCAGGCACCAGGTACGCTTGAATTTCTTCTCCGTCAGATTGGTGAACGTGTGGAATAGCCTTCCTGAGCTGGTTGTTTCCGCCCCTAGTGTCAACTCATTCAAGTCTCGCCTGGACGCTCACTGGTCTAAACTAGCCACCAAGTACGACCCGGACTGCTATCACTAAACTCGTATTTGGAACCCACCACGCACAGCACGTTGCCTAATAAAACGTATCACCATGATTGGTGAACAGGCCTCTAATAAGGCCTTCAACACCTCAACCCGTCAAAGTCAAGTCAAAGTTAGCAAGACTACTTGACATCCTCTCAACACAGGCACCTCTAACATTGATTGAAAGCCCGGGACCGGAGTAAAGAAGAAACCAGAGCCCTTCACCATGCTTACCAAGATTTACAAAATGGAATGAAAAAGTTCTCTCAGCATTTCATCATATAGCACTAACTCACTCTCAGTTTTTTGGAACCAGATCAGCCGCTAAACTTTTTTTTTACTTTTTTCTTCTTTTTCTCTCTTCTTCTTCTTGCCACACACAGTTTTTTGGAACTAGATGCTATTCGAGGTGAAACTACTGAATCTACCGCACGCGGTTGTTTTGCGTTAAGCACTATTGGATAAAGCTAAATCTTATTTTCGAGTGCAAAGTGGAAATTTACATTGAACAAATGATTGATTCACCTTATTTCATCACTCCGCACTCTCTTGGTTGAATATTTTCTGAGATATAGGCGTTGAACTAGTTAAACCGTAATAGGAAATTTTGCTTCAATCACTATTGGCTAGTGCTAAATTTTGTTGTCGAATGTCGAGTGCGGAGTGGTGATTTACATCGAAAAAGTGATTGAATTACGTTATCTCATCACTCCGCACTTTCTGGGTTGAATATTTTCCGAGATATAAGCGTTGAACCAGTTAAGACGTGCCCTTTTAACATAACATAACATAGTGATGTCGGCTCTGAAGTGTAGGCCTGATGTGGCCTGCCACCGATTCTTTTCCATTTCGTGCCTTGTTCATAGAATCTAAACTCGTGTCATTTGACCGGATCTTTTCATGACTGGCGATAGTTTGAAGAAGCTACTAGACTTCCACCGGGTTCGATAAGGAGCTAGGCAACAACTTCATTATTACAACTTCAAGCACTATTAGCGAGTGCTACGTTTTATTGACGAGTGCTATGAGGTGGTTTACAAGAAAATATGATTGATTCATTTCAGCACTATCTTTGTTAGATTTGTCAAATATGTAGTCACAAGATTGGAAAGTTCATACAAAAAATAAGGCTATAAGTTTAATCTCGTACAAATGGGCAAAGTTTCGTTTTTAGCTTTTGTTATTTATCAGTTTGTAAATTTTGTTTTTGTTTTTTAAAACACAGAGAGAAGATATGCTTAGTTTCCGTTCTTAATTTTCCAATACAGGATAATCAAAACCGTTACTTTACTTCTTGCTAAATTCGCGGAATTCGTTCAGCCGCGCTATTCTATTGATCAATCGTTCGCCACTTCAGCGTCTTCAGCTTCTATAAGTGGAGTCTTTTGGAGAGAGTCCGGTACGTTCATACGGCAAGCATCTTCAGATTGTGCTCTGTGAATCGTGATCAACGTAACGATTTTTTTCATGCTTAAACATAAAATTTTAAACTATTACGGTTATTCATTCACTAACTTGATTTTGTATTGCACTTTTCTTTATACCACGAGTATATTAGCTAAGTGTTCAATTTCAGGAACCCGGCTGGCCGCTGGCTCTCTGGCCCTTACTCCGGCCCCTTAGAATAGAATAGTCTATACTCTATAGAAGTGTCGGCGTTGAAGAAATAGGCCCATGGCCTGTTGCCGACGATCCATAACTGACGATTGATTGAGATACCTAGCTGCTGGAGCTGGACTTATTGCCTGCTCCGTAATTTGCTAGGCATTTTAAGACTGAACATATGCTCCTGCATAGCTTTGTCTAGTCTGTTTTTGAAGATGTTTTCCCCTTACCCCCTCCTCTTCTCGTCCCGAGAAGAGGCAGTAGCTAGGTAGCTACTAGGTAGGAGTAGATTTGTGAAATAAATCATAGTTTAGGTCAATTACTTTAAATTCTATGATGCCTGGTGGCTGGTGCACAATTCAATATATGACATTCTATGCACAATTTTGTGATGACCGATGATGCACTAATTTTTCGATAAGTGAAATTTTTTTGCTGAGCAAGGTAAATGTAATCAACCCACTGTGCAGAAATGGCCACCATTTTTTCTTTTGATTGAGGTATGTACATTCTGCAAATAAAGTTTTCATGCTGACACTTGTCTGCCACTTTTTTCTAAGTGAAATTTTTTAATATGACAAATATTTTTTTTATTACATATTACAGACCTTAGCAGAAGAAACTTTTCAAAATATCGTTTTTCACCATTTCTTTCAGTAATTTTTCAAAGCTAGTAAATGTAGTATTTTTTAACTTCCTTAATACTACATTAGATAGGAAAAATGTTGACGTTTAAGCCACTATATTTAGTTTTACAATATTCCAATTAATTTTGCTACTAAAACAGTTTTATGCCGTGTCAGAGGACTGTCCCGAGTTATATATACTCCGCCCATCCCGAGTAGCGTAGCCCTGGTTGATGGTAAACATTCTCCCAACTCCTTAAAATTTTGACAACAAAAAGACTGGCCACCATTCAATACCTGAAAATATGCCACTTTTCCTTCATACATTTGTCTCCTGCTTAATATCAAGTCATTCACTGTGATCATACATCCATAAATTATGATTATTTTTTTGATGGTGCATGCACGGTCTCATAGCCTTAACATAATCCAATTATTCTTGCACCCAACATTAAAATGTAAACCTTTATTAAAATCTTCTATATCTTCCTGTATATATGGTAGGTACTCTTGCAATTTACATAACGTTTGATTTTTCTTTTCAGGTGATTCATTGGTTATCTGTCAAATTCCTTTTCATGGCTCCTCCTATTGTTGATTTTGCATACATAGATGTGCAAGGAAATGATGGCAATAAATTGACTGCAACCTGCAAGTTTTGTACTTCTGGAAAAACAACAATTGTATTCAGCAAGCGCACTTCTGGGAATTTGGTTAGGCATTTGAAGCGCAAGCACAAAGCTGCTTTTCGTACCTACTACCATAAGTATGTTGCAAAAAAAAATTCGACTGTTCGACATAGAATTTTGAAAAAATGTTCAAAAGGTTCATTGCCATATCAAAAAACAACCCAATTAGTTGCACCCACCCAATTAGTTGCAGCCACCCAATTAGTTGCACCAACCCAATTAGTTGCACCAACCCAATTAGTTGCACCAACCCAATTAGTTGCACCCACCCAATTAGTTGCACCAAACAGCTTCCTCATGACACAACTTCGTCTTGTGCAACACAGCTTCCTCATGACACAACTTTGTCTTGTGCAACACAGCTTCCTCATGACACAACTTCCCCTGATTCAACACTGCTTCTCCTTGACAACAATTCATCTGAGGAGGAAACAAGGCCCCCACACACAGCTTACCAAACGTTGAATAGCTTACCTCACTGTTCCAGCTGTGCAGAACTTATTTGTGCTAGAAAAATGTACAAAACTTTACTACAGCTTGCATTAGAAAAGTGCAAGCACAGAAATGAATGTTGCTGCAAGAAGATGTTCAAGGAAAGTTTTTTAGAAGAACATGATGAAGAGCAAAATGTTTCACAAATCAAAAATGAAAAGTTTGATGATTCCAGTTTTGTTCCACAATATGACTGCAAAAAAGGTACGAATACATGGAGAGGTCATCATGTGGTTGGTGAATCTTGGTTTGATGGAATAAGCTCCGCAGACACCAGAAGCAAAATAGCTGCCAAGAAAACGCACCTGGAAATTCCTCAGCTCATAAATGCTATCAAATTTTGTGAGCATGAAGATGCACAGCAGCTCAAACATGGTCGTCCAACCAGTGATGAGAGCCAAAATGCAACAAAGAACTCGATGATTGCTGGGATATTCATGACTACTTATTCCTTACCATTTGTTATATATACTGCATTGTGCACACTTCTCTCAATAATTTGCCCATCTCATTTAAGTCATCCCTTGGGCAACCAACATCAGACTTACTTTACGCTTCAAAATATAACTCTTGCCAATTATGAAGTTTGTGCCACAACAATGAAGAATTTCTTTGCAACCACCTTTTCAGCTACAAGAAGTACCAGAAAATTCATGATTTGCTATGGCAGAGGTACAATTCCTATGGATGCCTCTCGACAATCTACTGTTGCCACCTATGTTGCTGACAATGGACTGCCTAAAGAAGTTCTCCTTGATGTTTCAATGGTGCGGCATGGAAATATGCTGTCAACTATGAATCATTTGAAAAAAATTGTGGCATCATTTCTTGATCCATCATCTATTGCCTTTATATGCACAGATGAAGCTGCTGTATCCTCAGGAACAAACCAAGGACTCATGGAATTGTTGAGAGCTACTGATAAATATAACAATTTACTTGAACTTCCTGACTTTTACCATAACTTGGAAAATTTGTTGAATGAAACAATGCCTCAATGGGTCATTGACACTTTATCAACATGCAGAGCTATTGGATCATTTATGAACAACCACAATGTAATGAAGCAAATCCACAGGCATATCAATGTTAGTCTGGGATCAACTTTTACTGTAAGCCTAAACCAGAGTCAGAGTCAATCTGCTGAAAATGTGCAACTCCACTTAGAATCCATTTTGAACAACATCCAAATTTTATTTGAAGCCTTACCGGAATTAATACATTATAAGAATTCAATTGGTAACAGAGCAAAATTAATTCTAAGATTGCTCGCTAATGATTCTTTTGTTGTCAGAATGATGATGATTCATAGACTTTACAGAACTATGCTTAGTAAACAAAAATCTGCCCAAGACATTAGCTTTGGACCATTAGAATACAAGCACAAAGTGGACAGCCTTTCTACAGAATTGTGCAAATTGAAAGAGCCTTCCATAGAGATTCAAACCTTCATGAAGAGTGGAGTTATAGTGTTGAACTCTGGTTCTTACACCTCCTATAACTATAAAGGAATTAAATTCAAAGAAATATCATCAAACCTAGGCCTGGAAACCACAAATAAACTTGACAGATCAAGAGATGATGACATGACTTCTTTGATTGAAGAGAATTCCAAATGGATAGACAATATTTGTAAAGAAGCCTGCAATCACTTAGAAATCCCTGCTCCCATAATTTATGCTAGTGAGTCATTTTCTCTCCATTGCAAGTCATTTATGATTTCAAAACAATTGACAGCTATCAAAAAACTGTATGATTCTGTGAACATTCAATTTGAGTCATGTGGCAGTGCATGCGCAGGACACCAAGAGTGCACTTGTTTAAAAAATGACTATACCAACTTCATGGACGTGTTTCAAAGTGAGTGGCAGGCTGCACCTGACAACAAACTCCTCAATAATGAGACTAAGAGATCACAGTCCTACACCCAGGCATTTGCTCATTACATCAGCACAAACAACAGAGAAACAACATATCCAGTCAACATTATTCGATGCCTTGAAGTCGTCCAGCTCATGAAGCCAACTTTATCACCTGCAAGAAGAGTGATGTCACATGTTGCAATTACTTTGAGAAATAGATTTGAATCCAAGGACTACTTGAATGAAGCAAAATGTGATGAAGATACCCTCATTGATACTGTGCAAATGGAAGTTTTTCTTAGATGCAACACGAACATGGTACAGCACGATGCTGACCTTGCAAAAGAAATCTTTCTGAGTAAACATGAAGAATCTTTAATGAAAACTGAGAAATCTACAGATGAGGGTACAGAAATATCAAATAATTTGATCAAACTTGGCAGTGAAGTCGGGACAAAAAATGTACATAAAAGACCATGTATTCATGATTCAGAAGAAACAGACATCAAAAAAATTAGAGTCAATTGTTTGACATCAGAACATGAAGAAGCTGAGCAGAGCCTCCCTCAAGTGTCTGATGGTGAAGTGAAGTCTGAAGGTGAGTCTTTGTGTAATGCTTGAAAGTTCATGGCATGTTTGTTTCAATTCCGTTTGTGATTTGAAGAATGCAGCAAGAGAAAAGCCAGAATTTTATTGAATATTAAGCATTTTGCTATGGATTAAAAAAATTCTCCATGCCATGCTAAAATTTATCAAAAGTAAATTTTCCAACACTTTTTACCAGTGCCTTTTGGAGCCTTTCTCTAACTTTTTGCTAGCATTTACCACTCTGATTTCCTGTATATTTATTAGTGCCTTGCCAGTACATGCACGGCCAGCTATTAATTAATAAATATGTAATAAATATTAATTAATTAATGAATATTCATTAACAGCTGTTATTAATAGTTGGAAAATTGAGTAAATATTCGGTTTAAAGCTGATGGTGGGCTGATGGGTCCTGCAGTTGTGTGGTTTGCTGCAACTGTTGAAAATTTTTGCCACGTCTCATGTTAGTCAATCAACATTTTTGTTAAGTAAGAAACCAGAATAAAATCTTTCATAATGCAACAATGGTTTCACATTTGGAAGGCCTGTACATATCACTATTAGAATGCATTCCACAGTTTAAAGCACTTGTTCCACTCCTTAATTTAGTCTAGTTAGATAATCAATAAGTCCTTCCCTTGTGCAGTACTGGAAGCTGGTGCTCTGTTGCCTGTCCATGAAGTATTTGTCGTCGACAAGATCAAGGAGGAGTTGGAGGATGTAGACATCAAAGAGGAACCCTTCTATGATGAAAAGGTTTGTATCATTATATTTTATGTACATGCTAGAACCTAAGGTAACATTTGTACCATTGATTTAAAAAAAATTTTAAGTTTGTCTCTCACATTATTTTAGCTTAGCTCCAGTTTTGATCCGAACACATGACTAAGTTTGGTAACATATGGAAAAAAATTGTCCTGATCTCTGATAAAGACCTGGCAAAATTTGTACTGAGGTCAAACAAAGATAGAACTGAGAGCAGAATCTTGTAACCTGTTGAGACCAAAGGATTGTCTAAATTTTGGAAAAAGTTTAGTTGTTTTTCAACAATTTGGCAGAAAAAATTTCTTTATATATCAGAAAATTTTAAAAATATCTAAGGGTTTTAATGTCTATCAACTTTGAATAGGTAGGCATAAAAGCTGTAAGAGAAAAATTTGAAGAAATTATTTCCCAAAGCTAAAGCTCAAATCCAAGATTTTTATAAATCATTTCAAATGATATGAAGGTTTTTTTGCATTGTATTTGTTAGCAATTATTTCATTTGTGCAATTTACAAATATGATTTACAATTATTTATGATTTACACATATGAGTTGATTTACAAAACCAATTACGTAGTACTGTTAGATCTCTGCTATGCCATCCAAATAAGCTACCTCTTCTCATTTGGTCTTAAGTTTGGAGTTGCAGATACTTACCTTGAGTTTGTAGTAGGAGTATAGATGGGCCCAATGGTGCATTGAGGCCATAATGAATAACAGGTATATGGTATATATTGTTAGCCTTCAGGCAGAACCCTGCCTGTAAATGACCTGCTCCTGCACCTACAGAGCAGCGGCGAGTCGTCCACGGCCGGGGGAGCTGCAGCAGCGACGTCTTAGATCAGCCAGCAGCAGCGAGCAGTTTTCCATGAAGTTCCATCAACGTAATTTTCCTAAGCATTTAATAATATAGGTAATTTATGTTGATTTTATTTTAGTTTTGTTTCAAATATAATTATTTAACATGGCAAATATAATGTTAAATGACCATTTTCTGAATCATGCAACGTTAGACAACAAAGTTTATGCTCATTGAGCTCTGTAGTGTATAACTAAAGCGCCCCGAACAGACAGTGATTTTCAGAGGTCAAACCCCCCGACTAACCGTTTACTCTTCCTCACTGCAGTTGTGTATGCCTTGATTATGCGTTTAAATAATTGAGGCAGTTTCATATAGAGAGATAAACATCCGGCCTGTGTAATTGCTATAAATGTGTGACCAACTATAGTTCATGTTAATAATTACCCATGTCAATAAATTTCTCTACATCGCAGTCCCTGGCGGATAGACCAGGTTCTGGGCGTCCAACCCTGCGCCCTAAGCCAGCGCCAGGCACCGGCGTCAGCTCTCCTGCTGTTGCGGATTGCCCGAGATTTCCTTAAATTTATTAGACTGCACCTCCTGCCCCTCCTGCGCCTCTGCCTGTGTCCATCACTGGCAAGTGTCAACGCCTCCTGGCGTTATAACATAGTGATGTCGGCGCTGAAGAGTAGGCCTGATGTGACCTGTCGCCGATTCTTTTAATTTTCGGTAGTTTAAATGGAGATTTCGTGAACTGTACTTTCACTTCAGCCTAAGCATTTTGGCCTTGATACGCTCAATTTCCTACATGAATATCCCATTAGAGAAGATCATGAAGATGAGAACCTATTTTTTCTATGATTTACGAAGTGCAGAGCAGGTCGTTCATTTCGTTCACAATGAATCTATTCTTGTTTCTCATGCCGTGTCGGTGAGTCCTTTTATACTTCTGAGTTTGAAGCTCGAGTTCAAAGCCGATGTAAGAATAAATCTTACAGTGCAGTTGCTGTGTAATTCTTACCTGGGCAATGCATCATATCACTGGCCAATGACGACGTATTCCTATGTTGTTAACAGGGAAACAATTAACTTCTGTCACTTTGCAACCAACGCTGGTGAAGGGAGAAATGAAACGAGTGGAAATTCTTGAGTTTATGCGCAAAATATATGCAAGTTTTTCGTCTTAATGAGTTAGGAAATTTGTTGTTTCTTGGTCAAATCCGTCTGTTCTAAATTATTTGTTATAGCTGCTCATATAATGATTTTTATGGTAAATTAGAAATGATCTTCTGATTCGAGAATTCCATGCTGTTTGCTATGTTTAATTCCTATTATTGAAAAATGATTTGAAGGGAAGGTGCCGGTGCCGGCAGAAACACTTTATAGGACAGCTGCTCAAACGAGTTCTCAGTGATAATATTTCTATGATAATTAGAATTTGATAATTTAGAAGTGTCGGCTTTGAAGATTTGACCATCAGGCCTGTTGCCGGTTCTGAACACCACGGAATTGTCACAGCTCTCCAAGTCGCGAACACGCAACTCACTGTCCCAATCTTGGCTGTCCTGACAACTCGGCCACCTCGTCGATTGGAATCTTGCATGCTAGAAAAAAATTTCCGACTCAATAGATTCAATAAAGGGGAGAAAGTTCAGCTTAATAGATATATACATATCTCTCAATCTCAGAAACTGCTGATAATAATATAATTTTAATAGCCGCGTGACCATTTTAGAAATATTTAAACCGTAAGAACTGATATAAATTTATTTACTCAGGTCCTAATTTATTTTACAATGTATAATATAATTTATTTATAACCCTTTTTCAATCCAACCAATTACAGACATTGGAGAACAAGTTCAATTTCCACCCTTGCGAGGACTGTACTTGACTCATTCTGCGGGAAGTTTTCTTTCAATAACAGGAAACATTTCATGATTTAGAGTTGCGTATTCTGATCAATGCCTGCAACCTGAGCCTCCGCCTCCTGAGTGCCGTATATATAGTACAACTTTCTATTATTTATTTTTAACTGAGAACTTCGTTTAACTCACAACAATTTAATAAGCAAACAAAAATATGCGTTTTTCGACGAGTCAAGTGAATAAAGATCTACCGATGAAAAATAATTAAGGTAAGATGTTCATTATTAACAATAAAAAGATCATTCATTTGTTCACTTATAAGGCTATCCCTATTGGTATCTCAAGGCCAGGTGATTATAACGTATGGCCAACATACAAGGGTTTCAATTTATTGAGCCTACAGCGTACAGTTGAAGAGCGTCGCATCGACTTACCATTGCTGCGAGTATTGCTTCCTAGTCCGACTTATTCTAGTAACTTTTGTTGCCGACTGTACCAGAAAAAACTTAGGAGAACGCGGCACTGGGAAGTCCACTATAATGACTGATGAAAATTTCGAAATTTGTTTGAGCTAGTTTATCGAATTTTAAATTTTTTTCGTAGAGCTGAAGAGCATATAGGTAGAATTATGAAATTGATGCGCAGCGTAATGGAGAAGCCATTTGACGAGGTTTGTGCAATATGTAATTGAT